ATACACATGATAATACCTTGGCAGTGGTTACGATATGTAATGCCGGTATAAATTTGAATTCTTAATATAATTAATTATATTACAATAATAATAATAATACATGAGCATCCATTTGTGGATTACTGAGACTTTATGATAATGAGGAAATGAACTAAAAAAAAAAATTGGACAATACCAAAGAACAAGACACTAAAGAGCAGATCAGTTCATGAACACTTTTTGGAGTACAGTATCAATGACAAAATATTTACCAAATACTTTGTACACTTCAATTTCTAAAGAGCCCATACACATTCAGCTTCCTATGATTCACTGCACGCCACTCGACTTTGTACGAGTCTCAGACTGTTTACAAAAAAAAAAAGGCTTTGTTCTTCCATCAAATAGCACAAGAGGTATACAAAAACTAAAATTATTAACGTCTCAATAACCAATTCAGAAATTAGCATGAGTGGGTGTTCCGTTTCCCCACTTAATGGTACCTGCACCTTGTCGTGGTGGTGGGGCTTGAGGACCTCGGTGACCCCAAGAGCTACTGGTAGGGCCTCCCTAGGGAGAGAGGTCAGACTAAGACAGGTATCCTGGTCCTCCAGGTTGGGGGTTGGTCGCAAGGCTAACAACCTTGCACCGTAAAAAGGAAGATGTTTCGAAACCTCGATCAAAGCCTCGGACAGACGGACCGAATGGAAGAGGAGGATTGAGGAGGCCACGGACCGGAGAGCCACAGAAGAAGGAGGGTGTTCCGTTTGGAAAATGACGATTGGGCATTTTGTGCGTACGATACGACCAAGTGCGATGCCATTGATCATGAGGTGTAAAAGTTCACACTTGCCATGAATCACAAACTCAAAACTTTCAATATTTACACTTACATGAATTCATTAATTCCACTAAAGTACACTTTGGAGTATTAGCCCTTTTTTAAAATTCTGATATGTTCTAAGGAAATCACCTCTAGTCCCACAATTCCAAGCCAAAGAATAGTGACAGAGGCTTTTAGTACGACCGCAAAGTAGTTTTAACGAGAACACTCCTAGGGTAATCGCAGAAATAAATAAATAACCAAGCTAGAAACTGGCTTTTCACCGCAGATACACTGGGACCAATCCCAGGTGACAAAGTGAGATCGGAGCAGCTCTCCACCAAAAGTTCTTCAATTTTCCCCTGCCAGTCGTCATTCTAACACTCCATCTCACGTTATCATACCCTCGGCCCTAAGTCAGGGGCTTCGTCACTTTGCTGGTCTTGAAGTAAAGGCAGTTTGGTTTAATAGCTGATTCAGACTGAGACATCAAAACCGGTTTACAAAATTCTAACTCGCACCGTGCGATAAAAACTGCCCCTGTAATAGAAGCGTACGGTAAAATTTAATCAGAAACATTAAATACGAACTGAAATTCCGTTGAAAGACATCATATATGAATAAGATGTTCGCAGACGACTCTTTATTCTGCGTTATGCATATGGACGAAGTAGGAATAAATCTACTGAAAATGGCCGTCTTGTGGGCTGTAGCGCCGTGTAGTCTGGTAGAAGTATACCGACATTTCAGAGGTCCTTGCTGCCTCCATCATCAGACATGGCACTACAACCCAGAAGACAGCCATCTTCATACTCACCGTTGTCATAACCCCAAATATATCATAACGACGTGTTCTCAGATTAACAAACTGCAAATGTAAGCCACGTGAACATTGCACCACTGTCAAATTTCTATTTAACTACCGTCAAACTAAATTGCCATTAGAACTGAAGAGCGCAGAAGCCTCAACTTTTCATCGTTCGCTACAAGACATAAATTATTGGTCTACTCGACGTTTCAGCTTTCCGACACTAATAAGACACGTGTTTTCTGTCGACTTAACAACAAACCTAACCAACTTCACTTCGTAACTCTCCTGTGCGACACATATTACTAGATTCTTCAAAAAATTGTAAACGACATTTTAAAGTTTTAAAGAATCCTGCGTCACAAAAATTAGCCAATGTTTCAGAGATGCTTAATCCCTCCATCATCAGAGCAATCACCACCCCGGTGACGAAGGCAGAAAGCACTTCTGACGCGTCGAGTCGGTTTCTACGAGACTTCATAGCTTCTTTATACTTGCCACCGTGAGAATCCACGGGCGCACCAAGTTGCATTATATTTCTTCATCCTCTTGGTATACATTTTTACACGGTTCTAAATTAAGTGTTCTATACCAACAAATTCCAAAATTTTGCCTTCCTGTTAATAAACAATAATTAATTCAGTAAATTAATAAAATTGATAAAGTGTTGACCTTGATTAATGTCGACAAAACACTGTACTAGCTTCAAAGGCTGATAATCGATTTAACGAAGGTTTATAGAATAATTAAGAATTATGATGTTGGCCTAAAATCATGTATTTTACTGCTAAATGTGTACAAATATTTGTGATGAAACTGGAATTACCTTATCTCAGGAAAAAAAAATACAGTTTGTTGATATTACAGTTAATAACTAATAATATTGATTTTTACATAACAATTTCTTTACATCACAGTTCTACAGGGTGAGTGGGAAGTAAGTAGGCATTAAATAATCGCTATACATTGGAAATATAGAGGTTATAACCATTTCTCAATGCCTACTTACCACTCACTCTGTATATCATAATCAGCACACGTTAAATTATGAGAAATGGCAGTGTAATCTACTTTAACAAGTACAGTCTAGTAAAATAAAATCTTGTACAGGATAATAATTTGAAAATAACAAAAATGAAACATAAGAAACAGATAATGGCAATCGGCAATTTTAATCACGACAACGTAAAAAAATCTGTGGCATTTTTTCCTCCTTCTGCCTTCATGAAATAAAACAGAAAAACAATGCTTATTGCCGATCAATATAAATTTGCATCGAGCATTTCCGCTCACAAAATCAATTCGCCTCAGGCGACAGGGTGACAATTTTCAAGCCTTGATGAAAACTCATATTCTCAGGAAGTGAGTGAGTGAGTGTGTAAGGCTCTAACAGTTCGAAGCATGTAAAATCCACCTTACAGGCCTCCAGCTTAAGTTCGCCCGCCCTGTGTACAAAGTAAGACGAAAAGAAAAACATTCTAAACTGAAAAAGAATCTAAGATGATATCAGTATTAATAAATAATAAACAAAATAACAATTAAATTAAATGCTACACTAAAAATTATGGACGAGTCTTCTCATCATCGACGGAATGTTATAATAACCATACAATTACTTAACGCAACTCTCACCTAATACATACTCAGTTGCACCTCAATATTAAATTCTGCTAATTCGGAAAAAAAAAAAATATACAAATGGATATTTATGATTCAGGGA